CCAGCCGTTAAAGGCATTATCTAACCGTACTCGTACCCGTGCTGATGGAAAAGTAGTTTTCTGGCGGACTTGGGGAGGGGGGGGGGCAGAAAAGGACATTTTTTAGGTTACACAAAAAATCTGTTTCCAAAATTCCTGGGACACCCCCTCTTAACCTTTCTACGGCCCATGAGGTCCTTCATTCCTGTTCCCGTCCATGTTCCGCGCGTACGTTTACGTATATTTTCGAAGTGGGTGCTTGGATTGCGGGTGTGTTGAAATGTGTGATCGTTACATTGTCTGCGTATATAGCCGACTAAGCTCTATTGGGGTACCCGGTGTGTAAGTTATGCGTACGCGCGCGTGTGATTAAGGTGTCGCGCTTTCAAGAGCGTCCGCTTGTAGGTTTGAGGTTACAGGCCAACAAGCGCTTGTGCATTTAATTTTTTTCTCCATTTATTCAGATGTTCCGATCTCCAGGAAAAAAGGTAATCAAATGAACCATATGTCGCGTGCAATGAACAAACGAGAGCACGATTAATCTTCTTCACCTTAATATACTGCCGCGTTTTTCTTGCCATTAACATCTCTTATGTCAACAATTCCATAGGCTACTACACAAAATTGCACTCATTCCCGGTTTTCGATTAATCAATACGGTATGTTTTACTAATCTAATTTTGCCCAGGATATTTGCATGATTTAATGTTATCGTTCCTTATGTCCCGAGAATGAAGATAATAAAGTTGATGAGGGCTTTTAGCGTCCAAAATACAGGCCAACAAGGTATATTGTGTTAGACAGCCGTCTACAGTGATAGTACATGTCGATGATGACTACTACATCTTCGATTATCTAATACAGAATAAAGATAAAGCTTACTCAGTGGGTTTTAAATACAGATAAGTAGGCGGCACGGATATAAATAATATATTGCCGGTTTAATTCAACGGGACTGACTACAATATGTCACGTATTCCATCTTTTGTAGATCACTTAAGTGCAACACCCGACACCGTTAGCCGTTGTTTTGCAAGCATTTGCACATATCATTTTAAATCAATCTCAGATTTAAATCGTTCAGTACGGATTTTCTGGGTTTATTTTTGAAAGAAATACTGTAGGGCCTAGATGTTTTTCAGTTATATCTCACAGTGCTTACCCATCCTGGTTATGCAATAAAAGAAATTGATAGCATCATCAAATCATGCATACCTTTTTTCGACTTATCTTCTGATATCATGAATATTAAAATAGCACACAAAGTTTAAGAAAGAGCGATATAACATTTTTGTAACAGACTACTAGTGCACTCTAGGGTCAGAGAGTTTTCTGGACGAGGTGGAATGCAGCATACGTTGTCTCCAGTCTTATAATATAATATGATATAATATAATATAATATAATATAATATAATATAATATATTATATTATATTATATTATATTATAATATAATATAATATAATATAATATAATATAATATAATATAATATAATATAATATTATATTATATTATATTATATTATATTATATTATATTATATTATATTATATTATATTATATTATATTATATTTCTTACGTGTCTGCTGCAGTATCATGTTCCAGTAATGAAGACATTGGAATTATAGGAATTACAGTAGTTATGAAATACGTGCTGCGGGTTCACCGGATTGATTAATTTTCTCAATAATTTTCCACAGGTTTTGCCTTGGAGATAAAGGGGGAAGTGGTTGAAATTTCCGGGATTTTCAAATTATTTTTAATATTTGCATGTCTAATGCTTATTGCATGTTTTTGATAAAGAAAATTTCCGGAATTTTTTGCCTATTTAAACTAATGCTTATTGCAAGCTTTTAAACAAATAAGCTTGTTGAAAGTAACGTGATTCGTGAGCGTTTTTGAACACAGCCACCCTGCGTTCCGCAACCTCTATTAGAAACTCGATCCTTTGTAGGGTCTTAGAACATACCCTGACACAAATGACGTCCCCATCACCCTCTGAGAATCAAGATGCATAAGCCCGCCTCCTATACAGTAAATCCCTGCTTGGGAACTAAGGTTATAGTACGGGGGGAAAAAACCAGTCATGACGTTCACGGTCTGAAAAAAAAATGGTTCATTGGTAGGGCCTAGTGATGGAAATTGATTTTGCTCGTGAGAAGAATTGTCACGTCCGATAAGACCACATTTAATTTAGACCATAAAGTGATAGATGAAGAATGACTGATATCGAGTTCTTTACCCTTGACTCGCGTCACGAGCTAGAGTAGGCAGCTAGGTCCGTAGCCAGCAATTTCAAAGGGGGGGGGGTCTTTTTTCTGAAGAAGTGGACCTTTTACCATATAATCCCCATGTACCTAGGTCAAATTTTACCCAGAGTGGACCTTTTTCCAGCAAAAAGGGGGGTTCTTTCCCTC